CCCAAATAATGACAAGTAATCACAGCCAAAAAAGTGTGCTGCCATGCACTTGGTCTGTCCACTGTGCAACAGCAACTTGAAGTGGAGGAAATACCATATATTACAGAACTGTGGAGCCACATGTCGAAAAGTCTGTAGTTTCACACTCTACTGAGGTATAAAGTGTACTAAACCCATTTGGTGCAAATTTTCCCAGAAGTCAATTCACACTGACTTTAAACAAGCGCACAAGTAAACACGCTGACAGCAGAGGCTGGTTTGTTCACCCTTTACTTTTCCCTGTCTGCTATCTGCAGACAGCCTCTTAAAGTTATATGAGTGAGTTTATCTAGCATGCCTGTGTTAATGAATGTGAACTGCGGTCCAGCACAAGCTCAACATAGATGTTGTACAGGACCATATCTCACCTGCGATCAGTAGGAACACAGGGATGGAAGCTAGACACAGGTCTCTATATGACCAAGGAGAGGCTTCAGTTCAGAAGCTCCAGAGGAGCCACATATCACCTGGTTGTCTGGAATCAGGAAGGTCACTGGGACATGGACTCATTACTGCACACTCAATCAGCTGGAAGCTTATTCAAACATCCGTTCCAACAACAACTGAAAATAAATATCTCTGTAGAGGACAGACACAGACAACCTTATAGCATGTATCCAACAGGCTGACTGATGACTTCTAGTCAAATTAAACTGCAATGACCAGTCTGCACAATAGATGCGCTGCATGTACGCTCTTTATCCACCCAAGTGCTGCCAAATTCTGGTGCCTGCTGTGACTTATTTTACTTACAAGGCTGACAGAAGTATGCCAACATATAAGAAAGTCTAACCCTTAAGAAAAACAACTGAACTGGAAAAAGAAAAATTACTTAATTGAAACATGAGTTACAGAGTTACAACAGTTAGCAAAAACTTGCAAGGCTACAAATTGTTACAGCTACTGAAACTAAGACTGAAAGCTTCAACATGTGAAAATATGATGGATGTGTGCTATTTTCATTCTGTTTCTACTGTACTGAAATGAGCAACATATTTACTTGTCACTGGAAAAACAAGATTTGTCCTAGCTTCCATGATCAAACATGTACAATTCTGTTCATACTAGCAATGTATAACACTTGATGCAATTTTGTAGGTTACAATGTAAAGCAATGGGTTTCCATTCAGCAAACAGTGGTTGAATCAATGCTATTAGGACTGATAAGCTCCATATGTGCAAGTTGGGTACAAACTAAAAATAAAATTAACAAAAAACTGACAGACACAAAGGAACAGTTTAAAGTCAAAAGACCAAAAACCAGATCACAGAAACAAAAACGAAGCTAAAATACAACTAAGCATTGGTTTATAGTCTCTCAGAACTAGCTCTAGAGAGGAGCTGTCCAACCATATGGAAACTAAATGTGTTTATTATCCACACTTGAAGGCAGATTAAGAAGCTGACCTTGAGCTAGAGGAGGAAGACACAATATCGTTTAAAAGCGAGGATAACAGTGCATATCTTCAGACAGTCTCTCCAGGAAACTATTCACAGTGTTGCACTGGAGTAAAAGTACCACAAATGCTGTACAAATGAGAAGAGAGCTAGAAAGTGAAGTATACTGCCTGGCTCCACCTTCACCTCTGCACAGATGTAAGTGTGTAAATCAGATTGCCACTTTCAGAAAGATACAAATGGTCGATACAGACACTCCCTATCAATGTTGGAAAGGTGTTGGGGAAAGGGATTTTCCCTTCCCATCCAACATGCCCATCAAACAGAGCATAAATCTAGCTGAAACAATGAGAAAAAGAAACACAAACATAAATATTAGTAGATATTCTTATAAAGAAGGGACAAATCATTATTTTGCAGGGGTGTCCAGAGCAGCAATGTACTAGGTGAAAACTACATGTTAATCAGCAGTTACTTCCAAGCTGCCGCTTTGCTTCTGCTAAAATCCTGATTTTATAACCACGACACTGTCTGACAAAAAATAGTGCTGTAATTTCAGCGACATCCAATTGTAAGTTGTAGTCACAAGCAATAAAACATCTTTCTTTTTTTGTCTCTCACACAGTGCACAGTCTCTCCTGGTTAACAAACTGCTGCTCCACCTCTACTCACCAGCTTCTGACAATTCTTTATTGGCATATGCTGCTGCTGACTACTGGGTACTGCCACTGATTTCCTGAATCAATTCAATTCCGATTCACAAGGTCCAGATTTGATTCGATTCCCGATCCGATATCAATTCAGTTTAAACATAAATTTTCTTGGATGTGATTGAGATTCTCAGAGAACTAATGCTATGAATTGTTCCTCTAACCTGGTGCATTATTTTAAAAAATCATGCTTACATTACAAATGGACACAAAGCAGTTACATTAATGCAGTCTATTTAACATGACCAACAGTTTAGACACACAGCTAACGAAATAATAGACAATGTGCATTGTTAACCTACCCCAGTGCACCAGCTATACTGTGTATGAACTGGTACAAATGGCCAATTCTTCACATCTAACATATAGCTTTGCTTTGTCCAGCTCTTCACTGTCTATATAGTTTTTAAAACTGAAATGCAGCCACACATCTGCCTTTAGACTTGCCGCTGACTTCATTGGGACTATGTCTGCTATGTTTTTGTCAGTCACGTGCAGAGTTGTAGTGCTGTTTGTTTACGTACCGGAGCGCACCTATGGTGCAAGAGCACAGTTGAGTTGCGGCTCATTTCAAAGGTTACGTAAACACTGTTCCTATGGTGGCACGTTTATATCCATATATTTACTGGTGTCAAGCAAATGAAGGCGCATTGTAAACATCCAGTCAGAGGAAAAGTTGCAGGCCAGGCTTCACCAGTCAGGTGAAGCTAACAGGCTAGGCTATTAAAACATAGCTAAGCTAGCTTTCATTTCCAGTAGCACATGTGCTAGTCCAAGTGTAACAGACTGACTTGGCTACCAGCAGCTACTAGAAACTTTTAAGGTGGAATGTTTTCTTGTGCGTTACTAAATGCATGATTGACGTTTGGAAACTAATCAATACACCTTGAATGTCAATATGACAACTTTCACCATTTCATTTGTTTTTAATAGATCTCTTGCATGACATACGATTTAGTGTTCGGATCTTTAAGTGCTTAAAAATGTAGATACATTTCAACCGGATTTTGCGAACTGTGGATATTTTATTTAATTACTTTGAGAAAGCTAGATATTGTCATATTAAATATTAACCCTTTTGTGAGTTTTCTGAGGTCACTGTGATTTTGACCTTTGACCTTTAGCCACCTAACCATTTCAATCTTGAGTCCAAGTGAACATTTGTACCAAATTCGATAAAGTTCCGTCAAGGTGTTACAGATATTGCATTCACAAAGCCAACACCGTGTTTTGTGATGTCACCAGGCCCTTGACCTTTGACCCCAAAAATCAGTTCATCCTTCAGTCCAGAGAACGTTTTGTCAAATCTTAAGTTCTCTCAAGGTGTTACGGAGATATTGCATTCACTAGGCCAAAACAGCGTTTTGTGAGGTTACCGTGACCTTAACCCATGGCCACCAAATTCTAATCAGTTTGTCCTTGAGTCTAGATGAACGTTTTTACCAAATTTGAAGAAATTCCCTCAAAGCGTTATGGAGATATTTCGTTCACAAGGCCAAAAACGCATTTTGTGAGGTCACAGTGACCTCGGCCTTTGACCACCAAAATGTAATCAATTCATCCTTGAGTCCAAGTGAATGTTTGTGCCAAATTTGAAGAAGTTCCATCAAGGCATTACTGAGACATTGCGTTCACAAGGCCAAAACTGTGTTTTGTGAGGTCACCACACCTGTGACCTTTGACCCATGACCCCCAAATTCTAATCAGTTTATCCTTGAGTCCTAGTGAATGTTTGTGCCAAATTTGAAGAAGTTCCACCAAGGCGTTTTTGAGATATCGTGTCCATGAGAATGGGACAGATAGACAGATGGGGTCTGGGAAAAGATAAAAACTCAGACATTACCCAAAGGTCAGGAAATGCAGAGGCTGTCAAATATTAACCAGTCAAATGTCTCCAAAAGCAATTATCCTACTTTTAAATCAGAGTCCTAATGCAGACACAGCTTACACATTTGTACCCTCAACATTTAATTTACAAGCATTTTATAACTTTAGGAGTCAATAAGAGTCAACTCAAAGTCATATTCAGCATTTGGCAGCTACATTTTCAAAATTTAAAATGGCCAGTTTTGGAGTACACTCAGATCATCTGTTGTAGCAGAAGAAGAAAGCGAGGCTCTTTGGCTAATCTAAAAGATGAAATATTATCTAATTATTATTGCTTATTTATTATTAACTATTATTACTATTATTATTATTATTATTATTATCATCATCATCAACAATGAGCTAATGGACACATGAATTTCCCCTAGGGGATAAATAAAGTATCTATCTATCTATCTATTACTCAAGTATAGAACCTAAGTCTCAGTGTGATTCATAACAATTCAGGCAGACATTATTTTATATGCTCTACAACTTAGCCTTTCGACTGGACAAGTTAACTCATACTTGCTATAATCTCTGCACTGACTTAGGTCACTCTCTCCAGGGCTAGCTGGTCAATACAATTTCCTTCTCAAGTTTACCTATTTAGGTAAGTTTAATGCAGAAGCTCTCCAGAGAATTTAGCAAATCATTTCAAAAATAAGTGTTGAAGACTTCACGTTACAATTACTTAGCATTAATAAGGTTCCAAGTTGCTAACATTGAGCCATGTCATAGGCAAACTTCGTGTAAGTAAGACGGTTAGTCTACACTCACATAATATTGACATTGCCAGTAGAAACTCGTATATTGGTTTTAATAGTGGACAATCAGAGAATGGCTAAGTTAAGGTAACATTAACGTTACATGTAGCCTCTGCACAGGCCTCATAGTCACATACACAGAATTCAGATCCCAGCGCAAACGTTTACTAAAACAAAGAAATATATAGCTATGTCAATAACCAATAAACAAGATACTTACAATCCAAATGTTTCTTTTTAGGCCCCATTATTTCATGCGTGGTCGCTTTGCACACAGTTTTGGAAATCGCCGACCCGGTGACAATGTGCTGTGCGGCGGTTATCCTGTCTGTAATGCTCTGTCCAGACATCCTGTATCGGATCAAATAAACTGTCACGGCTAAAGAAACGTTTCCAAATCCAGCGGAATTGCCTGGGTTTTGTGGACGGTACCGATCTTCAAAGGTTCTGTGCCACCCGATAAAACTGGAGACAAGAGTGTGAGAGAGAGAGAGAAGAGATACTGAGACGGCAGCAGGCGTTACATTACGCGTGTACGCTAGCTAGCTAACTAATAGGAGATAAAACAACTTTAGTCAAACACACTGAACCTGCAGTGCACTTATTTCATGGCTGTGAGATACGCACCCACTCTTTTAATCGATCCCTCGCGTCTACAGCGTCTTCTTCACTTCCCGTATCACGCTTCCCAACATACCGTAGCTGGATTGACGGATTAAAAATAGAAACTACTTCCGGACAAATTTGTTTCACAATAAAGCCTAACATTTTTCATATGACTGACTAGCCCATAGTTTCAAAATAATGTAGACTAATGGCCCCAGCATTGAAATTGTCAGTCGCTAATTTTGGCGTACTTAATTTTTCAAAATGTAAACACATGTAAACAGTGAAACTCGTTGAATCCATGGTATCATTATGTTTCCTGTTTAAAGTTCCAAACTACTTTAGTTAAAACAAACAAACCAACGAAAAGAAAAAGAATACTTAAGTAGAATGGCACTTAACAGAGTGCACCTCTTCCATGGCCAAAAATGTTCCAACAGATTACTTTTTGGATCTGCACCAAACTATACAAACTCGCAGATTTAAAAAAATATGTCTTTTTTTTTTTTTTTTACACAAAGACCCATACCTTATTTCCCGAGAAAATGTCGAAAAGTGCTCTATCTTACAATGTTAAGGAAAGTGAAAAAAAAATATTTAATGGGTTCCTCTCTGACCCATATCCCATCCCTTCACCAGTTTGGTTCAGTACTTTTTGCGTAATCCTGCTGACAAACAAACAAACTGCAATAGATATTAGGATCAGTCGAATCGTTTTTCTGCTCCAGGCTTTCCTTGTGTTAACTTTGGTTTTAAAACAGAGCTTCTAGCAAACGGGGAAATAATTTATCACACTTAATAACTGCATAGTCTTACTGTTATATCTTAATTTTAATTGCACAAAGATTAGCCTATTTGATTCAAGATTCAAGATACAAGATTCCTGACAGTGCTCGGTGCTTTTACTGTTCTTCCATCACTGCAGCTCAAAGTAATACGAGAAAACTTTGCAAGGATAAGTGGAAATAAAAACTAACTCATCTATGTCTTTTGGAAATTATTGCTAGTGTTTCGTTCCTATTCTAGTCATGTGACCATAATGTTAACATTTCACCTTGTTGAATATTGGCTGTCACATCACACGAATTTATCTCCAGGACAATGTCTTTCTTCCTGTTCAGGACTTTTAACGTAACATTTTCCAAAATAATTTGTGGAAAAAAACGTATTGATATTTAAGCTCATTTCATTACATACAGATCTAGAATAGGTTTATTGAAAGGTCAGAATCTCAAAGTTCTCACAATCACACACACAGACGCATGCACACACGCACACACACACACACACACACACACACACACACACACACACACACACACACACACACTGTCTGTCTGTATTTTCGAGCTTTTATTTTGGAGTCCAAGCATGTTATTTCCAGTCTCATCACAGTTAACTTCATAAGGCTTTCATTCTTGCGTTCTTTGGTTCCCACGGTGAACTACGTCTAGTTTTTATACAGCGCCTCCCCGTGCTGGGTTTAAATAATTCTTTAAATGAAGCGAGGGTTTGGGTGGAAAATGGCGGGTCTATTTCCTGGCCAGCCCTGACCACCCCAAACGCTCCACATAATACATTATGAATGTCCACCTCTGCCCTGCCTTTATGATACCTCCCAAATGGCTATGTGTACCTATTTAGCAACCACTCTGGCGGACCAGAGCAGGCATTGGCAGCAGAGGGTAGCTGACAAAAGGCTGCATGCACAACCATGGGTTACAGGTGCTGTTCAGACATGGTATTGAAGTTTTTCACAATTGCTAAAAGACATTTCTTGAAAACTTCCATGTTTTTCTCAAAAGTGAAATATTTTTATTTTTATTTATCAACTGAAATCTCTTCAGACCCTTAATTCAGACCCTTAATTCACTTTGTGGAAACCCCTTTGGCAGCAATAACAGCATGAGTCTACAAGTTTTGCACACCTGGATTTTGGCAGTTTATCTCATTCTCCCTGGCAGGTCCTCTCAAGCTCCATTATCAGAAGCATCTGTGAACTACAATCTTCTCCACAGCTGTTTTTTTTTTGTTTTTTTTGTTTGTTTGTTTGTTTGTTTGTTTTTTGGGGGGTGGGGGGGTGCACTGCTTACACACAAAAACTTTATATATCACATGATTTTTGAAACTTGTCACTCAAAGAGCAAACCACATACCAAATCTGCAATACCATGAGCTAATTCTCAGCCTTTGAATCAATTTTCAATGTCATAAAACACTTTTGCAAAACACTACACACAATTTTCTAACTAAGGCACAATAATCTAACAGGAAGTAACTTGCTTGCCTTTTCTGAACACAACCAATCAAAATGCTACACATATTCACCAGTGTCACATGCTTCACATGTGCAAACACTAATTGTTTAACTGATCACTAACCATTCACTGCTTTAGAATAGTCATAAAAATAGGCCAAAGGTCAGACACTAGTACCTGTTTTGAACAATGGATGCAAATGTTGCAAGGAGAGCAAGTGGAGGGAGGGAGAGGAAGAGGACAAGAATGAGGAGGAAGAGGACAAGATGAACAGGGAAGACTACAAGGGCAAAGAAGAGGAGGGAGACCTGTCTCTGGTGAGATTAGAGCTACACTTACTGATAATGTCATCAGTCACAGGTTGCTGTAAATATGAGAGAGACTGAACTGAGAGTCCAACCCAAGGTGAATCAGTTTACAATGGCATCCATAATCCAAACCAGTATGAACAGGTATATCTAATGGCTACTTTAGCATTACTTTAAAATAAGTAGTACTGCATTGTGTTACATAGACATTTGTAGGTCTTACTGTAGCCACCCATTTATGGATGGTTATCATACTGTACTACAATACAGCTGTAAAAAAAACATTTGTGTACTATACTATACACACCCACACCTGTTACTGTAATCTTGTACAGAGTGGAAAGGTAAAAATATTATGGAGTATGAGGTCACATGTTTACAGAAGAGAGGTGGCTACTGTAAATATGGTTTTTACATATGGGTATGGTGTTTGTACAAATTCCTATATATGGTATATGGTTTTGTTGTCTTGTACAACACAATGCTACAGCTACAACAGTGCTGTTTTGGATAACTAAATACAGTATTTTCAGTTTCAATATTGCATTGGTGTTTACTGTACTGTGTACATGTCAACCCCTCTCAGCAGATCACTGTACTGTACTGTCACTTTCCATTGTATGGAAATGTAGCCTATATACAAGCCTATGGAAGACAGAAGAGGTTTAGATTTAGAACAACAGTGTGGACATGGTATGTCCAAAAATTTACTATAATGAAAAAAGTATTTGGCATTTGATGCAAATACTTGATGTTGAGATGTTTTTATGATATTTTGAATGCAGTATTTCATTTTGCAGGAGATATGTGGCACTTTGCATTTGCATTTGTCTGTAGAGTTTTGAAAAAAATGAGACCAAGTTTAGAAAATGTGTGAAAGCACATGTAAAAAACTGTAAGTCTGGGCTTTGCGTGGGCAACTCAAGGACTGTCAACCCCTGTTATTGTCTGCATAACAACAGGAGTATCAGCACTCCTATTGTTATGTGGACAACATTCCACGTTGTCTTTGTGCGCTTTGGGTCATTGTCCTGCTAAAAGGTGAACTGTCCCCCCACCAGTCTCAGGTCATGTGCACTCTTTTTTTCTTGTTTATCTTGTTTTCTTCAAGGACCTCTTGGTGGCCCTTGGCTTTGTTTACCCAGGCTGTGGACAGTTGACATGACTACATCTTGAAAGTAATCCATCCACTTTCTAGTGTACAGTTTGTGTGGTGGCAACCAGTGCTGCACTAAAAGTTTTTTGGCTGTGGCTAGTCCAGCAAGATATAAACTGCTTGTTTCTCACTCAGTTCCATACCTCGGTCAACATTCAGTCAAAGAGGGATTGGTTCTAGTGGCACAGGCTTGCCAGTCATAGTAGAAAGAGTTAATACAACCTTCCTCCAGAAGTCATAGACATTTGGGCAGTCCCATACCGTGTGTTTAAATGTTCTGGATACATTGAGGGAGCACAAATCACAATTAGGGCAGGCTATCTGTTTCATATTAAATTTCTCAAGGGGTGTATAGAAGGCCTTATGACATAACTTAAAGTTAATCAACTGGTGATTGAGGTTCTTGGACACCTGAAATATGTTCTTCCAGACCTTGCCCCAGTTTATGTCGTCCTCCTTGACAGCCAAGTCTTTGGTCCAGGCGTTGGTCAGACACTTGGTGTTTGGTGTTGAAGCTATGAGTATATGGCTGAGACAAGACCCCTGGTGGATCGTGTCCCACGGAACTCTATACCAGTGAAGTGCTGTCTATAATTGAAGGCACAGAAAGAAAGTATTTGGTAGATCGAAAGTGAATACAATTCTTGAAAATCATTAAGAACCCCTGTGTCAAATATATCCTCCAAAGTATTCATCCCTTTTGAGGACCATTCTATTGACTCAAATGGCTTATTCCCTGACATGATATTTCTGTTCCATTCCAGGGGCATGTTCAGGTGCCATTCACAGTTGCCCCTAGACATTTTCAACCATCCTGAAGTTCCTGATTATGTTTGAGATAATATGTCGAAAGCATAGCATGCACTGATTACTGGTTAGACCAGAAAATTAAATATCTTTGAGTTTATATGGAGATACCAACGTTTCCTCAATGGCTTTCCAGGTGACTGGAGGTGAGTGGTCAACTCGGGCCTTGAGTGGGCATTCCTGGAATGACTGATAATATACCAAGAAATTTGAAAAGGCTAGACCCCCCCTTCTGTTTTGGTCGCGGTACGGTAGAGTCTGATGTTTTGATGCTTGTTGTTCCAGATATATCTATGCAGCAGTGTGTCAACTGTTTTCCATTATCACACTGGAGGAAGGAGTGGAATCATCATGCTCATAAAATTGATACGTGGCAGCACATTCATTGGAAGCAACTCTTGCTTTTAAGGCTGCAGGTAAATTTGTACATATGGCTGTCACGTTCAACCTCTTTGAAAATGTTTTCATAGTTAGACTTTGCTTTGTTATGTAGGGAAGATTGAATCTGAACACTCAGGTATGTGATCTCAGTTTTTATAGGGATGTTGTGTGGTAATGCCAACTTTTTT